TACTTTAAAACAAATATATTTAAATATGTTTTGTGTTTTTAAGTTTTTACAAGAAAAGAAAAAAGTTAAATCTGGACCTTAAAATACTGAAATGTTTGGGTTTCAGTTGAAAAATGTCACTTGAAAGAATGAATATTTTTAGGATGAGAGTTTTTATGTCAGCAGAACAAAGACGCGTCCCACAGAGTCGTCCTCCCACCTTCATCAGGTTTTGTGATGTTTCTTTACCTCTGCTTCAGCTTCTCCAGGTCTGCAGCCAGGTTGTCCCGCTCCACCTCCAGCCGGGCCTTGCCGTTGACCAGCCCGTCCACCTGGCGCCTCAGGTCTCTCAGCTCCTCCTGGTAGATGTCCCCCAGGCGGCTGGGCTCCTTCCCCTTCAGCTGGTTCAGCTCGGCCACCAGGACCTTGTTCTGCTGCTCCAGCAGGCGCACCTTCTCGATGTAGCTGGCGAAGCGGTCYTTCAGGCCCATCATCTCCACCTTCTCGTTGGTGCGCGTCTCCTTGTACTGGGCCTTCAGCAGGGTGTCCGCCGAGAAGTCCAGCCTGTCCACGGGGCTGCCCAGCAGCAGGGCCGTGCTGGACGAGCCCAGGGAGATCCGGGACACGGGGCTGGAGTGGGTGAGGGTCCGAGGGGTGCCATGCCAGGAGAGGCGATGGGAAGGCAGACCCCCGATTCTGGATCCGGTGCTGCTGGAGCTGTGAGGCCCGAAACGTTTCCTGTACGTGGACTGGACTCTCTGGCTCTCCATGGTCAGGAATAAGCCTGTTCAGGGGACAAACCAGGCTTTTATAGAGGGAGCACCCCCTCCAGAGGGGCCACAGGGTGGGGCAGGGTGGCTGCACTGAATGGAACAAAAAGGGATCCCAAAGGGGAGGACTACATGTGCCAGGGATTGTCTGTGCTCGTCCACTCAACTCCAAATGTCTCCTGGATTTCTCCTCCCCTCCCCTCAGACTCACTCTTTCACTCTCACTTTTTTGTTTCACTCTCTCTTTCTTTCTCCGAGCGAATGAAAAAGAATTTGTGTGACAGGCCTCTGGCCACAAACTCAACCTGACCACACATGAGCTCCCAAAAACCCCAGAGAGGGAACAGATCTTACATTCAAAAAATACTCATAAAAACACACATAATAAACCGAGGCAAGACTGTTCTTTACTAAAATGTAAAGAAAAACTGAATGAAATGATCGTGCATCCAGATTTGATTCATAATAAAACACAATAAACAAATAAAATAAAACATAATTTAGAATTTAAGGGGAGCAACATGTCTTTAAAAAGCTGCAAAAGGATAAAAAGCTGTGGCATGAATGAGAAACAGTACAGAAATCCTAAAGAAAAAAAACACCTTCAGACATTAAAGCAAAATAAAAATGTATTTCTGGGGGGAGAAGACGCCCACCTCTACTGAGCACAGAGGGAGGAAAGTAGCAAGAATTTCTATTTTCAGGTTACTGGACCTCCTGCTGATTTTTTGGACAGATAGATGAAGAGGAGGAGGAGAAGGAGAAGGAGAAGGAGGAGGAGGTAGACGAGTGCAAACCTAATCTGAACTTCAGAATGACGAACAGACGCTGCGGTACAAAACCCTTTTCACTCATTACCCCGACAACCAGCAGGACGGCTGCATCAGAGAACTTTAAAAACACTGAGCTGTTTGCTTCTGCCTGTGAAAAAAAAAATCCTTTAAAAGCAGAAATGACTCAGCAAAATGACTGTAGTCAAATCAGTGAAAAAAAAGAGCAAGAAATGGCATCAAAACTCAATTTTTTGTTAAATTATTGGGAGAAAAGATCTTTTTTCCCAACAAATTGAAGAAAAAAATAACTGCAACCAACAACACAACATTTCTGATGAAGCTGCATGATTTAATTTAGACATTGCAGGTTTTATTTTATTTTGAAGGACCAAACTGTTTAACGTCATAATAATGAAGGAGCTTCACTTTTTATGAACTGGCACTGAGGGAATATAAATGTTATAAATGTGTAAGTTTAAAAAAAAAATCCAAACAGGAAACATGATTTTTATTGTTTACAAAAACAATTAAAACACTTTATCAGTGGTTATTAGATAATCAAAACTGTACTCATGTTTTGAATAATGTAATTTACAGTTTTCCTCTTGGATGTGACTTTTTTTTTTAAATAAATTTTTATTGTAAGTTATTCTACTTGTTAGCTTTTGAAATCATAAACGATAGGTCGTGCATGTTAATTGTAACTTTTTAAAATTATTTCCATCAACAGAAAATTAGCTTTTTTGGCTAAATCTGGCATATTTATGTGATATTTTTTGTATTGATTAATATGCAAATTCAAATTGTTTGCTATGTTAAAACCTGCATGTTTGATCCATTCACATTAAAACATTCATGACTATTCATCTTCTTTTAGCGACACAGCYGCTTGGAAAACGTCTTGTTTCCCTGCAGGCAGTAAAAGCACAACAGTGGTGTAAATAAAGGATTTCTTTGGCTCATAAAGTCACTCCTGTTCGTACTGGGAGCCAGTGAATAAAGCTTCTTTGATTTTACTATCTGGAGTGTTTTGCTGCTGTAAGAGTAAAAAAAAATATAACACACTGTCTTGAATGTCAATTGGTCTTTGTTAGAGGTGAAGCAAGATGGCCGACTGAGTCTGGCAGTGATTTGTTGATTTAAAAAGGCTCCATCTGTAAAGATTAACCGCCTAGTTACATCATTACGCCGACACTAATTGTTCGGGCTCGCTGGATGTTTCAGACAATCACCGCTGTTGCCTTAGATCTGGTCACTGAGGTAATAATGTGCAGATAATTAAGCATCCGCAGAGAGAGAGAGAGAGATCTGCTGACGGAGTCGCCCAGGGGACAAACAGCTGATAGATGAGTCCAACATGAGGCGAACAAAACATTTAAAAAAAAGGATGCAGGGTGGAATATTAGCTGCCAGATATATTTGACTGTTTTGGCATTTTAGACCCACTTTAAAGCCTTACTGAACCCAAACGACCACATTCCAGACAGGTTCCTGCCCAACGAGCTGCCATCCAATTAGACCTGCACTAACTTTCAGCTCGTTTTTCCTTCAAACTTGCTCTGAAATTAAACAAGATGGAGGCAACGACACACTTGTTTACGTGTTTTTGAATCCTCAGAGGCTTCACAATGAAGATGGAACACAATACATACAAAAAGAAAAAAAGAAAAAAAAAAAACTGGAACTGACCGGCCGGCTGTATGACTCAGCACCAGCAGGTCCAGACAGAGTTTATCTACAAAAAAGAAAAAAAGAGGCTGCAGAGATCCGGCTCCTGTCAGCAGGAAAACAGAGGGGCCCGAACATTCAAAACATGGACCCATCTGCATTTTGAACGCTCACGTCGCGCCTCAAACACGAGTTCTGATCCAAACTGTGCAATCTGTGGTGCACTACTTAAATCTATTTGAAAATAAAATGTAGAGCAAATGTAAAAAACTTGCGATTTTAACAAAAATATTAACTGAAAACTGAACAAGAAGAGCTAAATGCAGCAAACCCGTAATTAGAATATACGGTTCCTTTTTGTTTACAACCATTTATACATTTATTAGATTCAACAGAATCTGAAGCTGACAAAGAATCTCTGCATCCAGACGTTTACAAAAAGAGCCTTTTGTTTCTTACAGTCTGTTTTCTCCTCACACAGGCAGACACGGCCAAAAAAAAACCTCTTCTTCCTGTGACTGCCTCCTGTTTTCCCCTCATTTAAAGAGTCAAAGAGTAAATAAAGAAGAAGAAAAAAAAGAGGCATCAATCAGGCAGCTTCTTCCTGCCAAATGTGAGCTCAGTCCGTTTTCTTTCACCGAGCGCAAAAAACACCAACAAAGGAGCATCGTTTCAATTTAAAAACTATTTATTGGTCATGAAATATACACGTTTTATATAAAACATAATATACTCTTTGATACATTCGACTCTGCACTGCAAGTCTTGTCGTAATAAAGTTATGAAGTTATAACATCTAGTTTGTGTTCGTTTGTTTAACCCAGGGTTGGTTTCTGTTAAATAACTGATTTATTTGTTTTAATGCTGAACACTTAGCTGCCTGTAAAAAGAAGCAGCTAAATAAAATCATTCTGACCTTAGCCGTTTCTCCACGTTTCCCGGGGTAAACAAACACGTCGCGTGGGTCGAACACAACACTGGTTCTGATCCGGATCAAAATAATAATAATAATAATAATGAAAATTCACATAAAAGGCCCTTCAGTTGGTTTCTTTTCACCAGTCGGACCAGAAAGTGATGCAGGTAACCTCTAAAACAACTTTGTTTGTAACAAAGGATGTGAGAAATAAAATAAAAATATAAAAAAATCTGCACTGGAGCAAAAACCAGAATCAGTTTTCGACTCGGGTCCCATTTATAAAAACATTAACTTTATAACTTCTGCAAAACCAGCTGCTTTCTATCAGTTTAACAAAACTAAACCTTAGATCATCACATGGTCTGAATATAAAAATATCTGTATATAGATGTTGCTTTTAACACCTATTTGGATTAAAACGGGGCTATAAATAAAAAAAATATATAAAATTAAAGAGCAAAAGTGTTTGTTTTAGTTAAAAGAAAAGTGCATCTGATTTAAAATGATCCTAAACTTGAGGCTCCTCAGAGTTTAACCCAAACATTTTATTTCCACACATCTGTTCCAGTTTGAGCCTTTTGTCAGAGGAAAACAGTGATGCTGAGGAGCTACAAGAGGAGGAAATACAGTGCTTCAAAAGATAAAACATCATTCATCAGTTTTTTGGGACTAAAATCTGTTAAAATCTCATAATTTTTCCCAAATCCATCATTTAAACACTGGTTTAAAGAGGAGAAAGACATTTAAAGTGAAGTTAAAATAGTTTTATGGGACTTAAACTTTTATTGAGCACCACCTGCTGACTAATAAACAGAACAACAGTTAGAAATAGCACTTCTATCTAATCTGTTTGATTAAAAAAAACTTATTTTAAAGTTATAGAAGCACAGAAAAGTCACTGAGTTGTTTAACAGGTTAAAAGTCTTTGTTTCCGAACGCAAATGTTTTTTTATTTTTGATATAAAAAGTCATAAAGTTTGTTCGTTTGTAGATTTTTGTAAATTAAATTGCATTTAATCTAAAACTAAAACCTGGACAAATTGGTGTTTCTCNAATTAAATTGCATTTAATCTAAAACTAAAACCTGGACAAATTGGTGTTTCTCTTGTATAAAAGGGAAATATATATTTAAAATAATTAATGCTGCCATAATCACAAAATACTTTACCTGCATGGCAAAAAAAAAAAGTTTGCAAAACAATAAAAAACATTTTTGTTTCAATAAATTAGCAGCTGGGATGAAAACACATATTCTTGCTTAATTTAAACAACGTGAACCAGATACTGAAGGTTTATATTTGTTTAAATATAATAATAATTCATAGAATTAATAATAATAGCATCGTGATGTGTTGAGGAGAAAATGAAGTAATAAATACATCATGTTTTAAAGTTCAGGAACAAAAACAGTTTTTTTTTCTGCAGCTTTCTGTTCGTCAGATAATTTAAGGTGTGATCAGGAGTGATACTGACGTGTGTCCGGATCAGCATCCTACCTCCCCCTGCAGAGACTCTTAAAGACCACCAGCTGGCGCTGACATCACAGAGTTCCTCCTCACCTGCGAGGCGAGACCAAACGGGTCTCAGCCCAGAACCTGAGAGAAGGGATGTCTGAGCAGCTCCTCGGCACTCGGCCTGTGTTTGGCCTCCACGAAGATGCAGCGGACAAAGTCCCGCGCCTGTTCCGACACGTGGGAKGGGAGCAGCGGGTTGGTGGGCTGGGTGGCGATCTTGAATATGGCCGCCATGGCCTCGAACTCCGCCCACGGAGGTTTCTCTGTGAGCATCTCCACGACCGTGCAGCCAAGGCTCCTGCAAGACACGCAAACCGTCGGCTCTGCTTTACAAGCTGAAACAGAGAGATGTTTGGTCCAAATACCAAAACTCTGATGATATGAAGGAATGTTTTCAGCTGAAAAAGTGTTTTTTATTCTAAAAACTTGTCAGAGAATACCTCACCTGTACCTGATCATTCCTGTGTGATAACTGATAAGAAATGTTCAGTTCCCACCACTAAACAACACAACGGTGTTTTCCTTCATTTCTCAGGTCTCAACCCGTCTACTAGCTTCCCCCAGTTCCACAGATCCTTAAACTCTCCTGATGTTTGTTATTAAACAACCCAAGTTAAAGCTCTATCATGCAAATAATAATAATAAAATAAAAAAAGCAAACAGTGAACACCATCCAAAAACACAGAAACCTTATTTAAATGGACCAAGGCGAAGCAGAAAACTGTTCTGAGTTCAGACAAATAAAAGAACAGAAGCCTGTTATCAGCGCACAGCTCAAAAAAATGCCTCTCTGATGGTATGAGGGTGCATTAGTGCCTTTGGCAGCTTACACATCTGGAAAGGCATCATCAAGTCACAGAACCATAAACAGGTTTGAGAACAACAAAAGCTCCTATACTAAAAAGTAGYGGTCGATCGATACATCGACCGGACGATAGTTTGGGAAGTTATTTGTGTTTTTCTTGTATCAGCATCAGTACATGRGTTCACTGATACAACAAAAACAATCTTAACAAAAAATAAATGTTCTACATTGTTTAATATCAACTGTTCATATGTTTTGTTAATAAAGGTTTCTTTTTTTGTTTACAGTGAGACTTGTTTAACATTTGTTATTGTGTTATTTTTATCATGTTAACGGAGGAAAAAAAAGCAACATCAGCATCAAGAATCGGCCCAAAAAAAAAGAAAAGAAAAAAAAATCGGCAGTACATATTAGGGATAGGTAGGGATGCTACTGAAAACCGGTATTTTTCAGTACCAGTTCCATGTGATGAATTTTGACCGGATCAATAAGCTCCAGAAGTAACGGTGCCATTAACGGTACCGGCATAGAGCGGACATGGCACATGCTGTGTTGTTTAGAACAAGCTCCTTTTTCCTCTCCGCTCTCACTCTGAGCTCTCCTCAACACAAAGGGGAGGGGCTGCTAGCAACACAGGCTGCTAGCAGCTCGCTACCCGCATGCGCAGAAAAAAGACGTGACTTCTCATTCAGCACAGTGTTTACAGAAGTAGCCTATGGAAGCTAGTTGTTAGTATGTTGATTCTGATGTTGCTGAGCATTGAAACTGATTTTTTTTAGTTATTTTGTGTGTAATACCCCAACACCACCACCAATGCCCTAGGGGGAAACACTGGTTTTATTCCAACAGAAAAGTATCAATAAGAGAACCGTTAAAATACCGGATGCAGTACCGATTAGAGTAGTAGTATCGATAAAACTTTAACGATACCCATCCCTAGGGATCGGTTAGACTGATGTCAAAATAACTGGTATCAGAATGGACTTTAAAAAAGCGGTATTGGTCAATCTCTCCTAGAAGTAAATCCAGGAAAGACGGTCCAGAACTGTCAGAATCCTTCCTCAGACAACATCCTAACATCCTGCCACAGTTTGAGTCAGTTTGTAACAAAGCTCTCACCAGACATCAGCCCTCCTGCCGTATCCTTCTCCGCTGATCACCTCCGGACTCATCCAGTAGGGGGTGCCGGTCACCGAGCGGACTCCGGTTCCAGACATGCAGATGGTCTGGAGCCTCTTACTGGCACCAAAATCTCCGAGCTTCACGTTTCCCTCCGAGTCCCGCAGGATGTTGGCACCTTGTAGAGGCAGTGTGATGGATTTAACTGCTTCCTGAACGTTCACCTGGCGTCTGAGCGGTGTTTTAAAGAGGACTACCTTTGATGTCCCTGTGCACGATCATGTTGCTGTGCAGGTAGGACACGCCCTCCAGGATCTGCCTCGTGTACTTCCGGGTCACGTTTTCCGTCAGGGCTCCGTAGGCCTTCAGCTGGTCTTTGACCGACCCCTGAAGGGAAGAAAACGGTTTTAACATAAAAGTGTGCTCTGCATTAGAGATCAGTTGTAGCAGCAAACAGAACTGAAAGCTCCAGCTCACCCCTGGCATGTACTCCATGAAGATAGTGAGGGTCTTCTCYTTGTGGTCCCTCAGACAGCCGTAGTACTGAACGATGCGCTCGTGGTGCAGGTTCTTCAGGAGCTGGATTTCACACTCTAAAGCACCGACCTCCTGTAAGCAAACACAGATTATACGGAGAAAACTGAACACCTGAGACTCAAAAATCAAAACTAACCTTAGGAATTTGGTCAAAAACTGAAAATAACTTTATCTCACGTGCAGTTCTTCCACCTCACCTTGCTGGTTTCGGGACTTTCCAGATCGAAGTGGACCTGCTTGGCGGCCAGTTCTCTCCCGGTGTCGACATCGTAACACAGGTAAACCCGACCAAACGCTCCCTGACCTAAAAGTTTCCCTCGACGCCACGTCACCGGAGCGCTGGGGGCTGATAGGAAATAAAGTCAGATTATGTTTCTCAGTAAGCAGATTAAAGCTCTTGTTAGCTGTATGGCACAGTATGAGGGCCAAAATTAAGACTATTGCACAGTCAGCGGTTGCTACATCCTTGTAGCATGAGGCTATATCTGTTCCTAAGCTAGCTGTTGATCTGATTAATGAGAGGCCAGCACCGCTAACTGAGAGGCCGGTAATGGCAAATGAGAAGGAGACTATTTATTTGCCTTAGCATCGGAGAGGCTATTGGCTAGCATGCCTAGACTGCTCACCTACTTTATTAGAAACTAACTTTTTTGAATAAAGAAAAGTTTCTCAACAAAAAAAACCTTTGAACTCCATACACTGACAGGTGTTCCTGAGACAGAATTTACTGTTCAACATGACGTCAAGAACAAATATTAAACATAAAACATGTAACTGTAAGGGAGACAGCTTTAGTTACCACCTGAACTAGCAGCTGCATTTGCACTTGTCTATTGGTCAACGGCAGTGTTTGTCTTTTTTTTAGACTAATTATAAGAAATATTTGTATATGACATTTTGGATTATAATTCAATATAGAAAAGATTCATTTAAAACTGTAAAAAGCCAAAACTTGATATTTCTGGCTTTTCTCATAACTTTTATATGTCAACTATTTTTGTTGAGAAAGTTTTCTTTATTAAAAAAAGTCAGTGTCTAATAAAGAAGGTGAGCAGCCCAGGCATGCTAGTTGCTAGCCTCTCCAATGCTAACACCAGCTTATCTATGCCAATCACTAGCCTCTCCAATGCTAAGATCAGCTTATCTATGCTAGCCGCTAGCCTCTCTGATGCTATTGCCAGCTTATCTATGCTAATCGTTAGCCTCTCCAATGCGAATGCCAGATTATCTATGCCAATTGTTAGCCTCTCCAATGCTAACACCAGCTTATTTATGCTAATCGGTAGCCTCTCCAATGCTAATGCTAGCTTATCCATGCTAATCACTAGCCCCTCCAATACTAACACCAGTTTATCCATGCTAATCGCTAGCCTTTCCAACGCTAACACCAGATTATTCATGCTAATCGCTAGCCTCTCCAATGCTAACACCAGATTATCCATGCTAATTGGTAGCCTCTCCAATGCTAACACCAACTTATCCAAGCTTATCGGTAGCCTCTCCAATGCTAACGCTAGCTTATCCATCCTAGTCACTAGCCTCTCAGATGCTAATGCAAATTAATAATTTCCTTCTCATTTGTAGCAACCGCCGGTTGTGCAATAGTCTTAATTTTGGCCCACATCCCGCACCATAGCTAGCTGGAGCTCTCTCTGATCGGTCACTCACACTTGTGCGGGACAGAACAATCGAGCGGACGCAGCTGGCGTTGCGTGTCGACCAGCTGCCAGCTGCCCAGACTCTCCTCGCTGCCGTTCAGCGAGCGCCTCGAAGGCACCAGGGTGAAGAGGTTCCCCTGTGGGCGACGGATGCGAGGGAATGTGCGACGACCTGGAGGACGCAGGGAGGAGTAAGCATCGCTGCGCATTAAGAATCGAGGAGAAAACATTCCAGATGTTATTACCTTCACTGTGGTCCTTATAGTGCAGAGAAACGTGGTATCTCCGAGGGTAGGTGCCTCCTTTTCCTGCTATCCTGTCGTAAACGTGATTTTCTCTGTCTGAAAGCAGATTTATAAGTCAGCAGCTTTATTATTGATACAACACAGATGAATAAATATTCAAAAAATAACTTATAGTGTCTCCTCAGCAATGACGAACTCTACGATGCTTTCAACAGAACCCTTCTTTCAAGATCAATAATTTTCCTCATCTGAGGGTGAACTGGACATTTGGCTCCCACCTGAGAGCTCTTGTCGATTATCAGGGTAACTCATCGCTCTGTGCTTCCGGGACTTCCTCAGRGAGGGGCTGGGAGAGAGGAACGACAAACAGTTCAGAGAATCAACAAGCTTTTTCTTAGGCCAGATTACGAAGTGTTTATTTAACTGCCTGCCCAGAGTTCGTTCATCACCTGTCTGAGRTGCTGTCCAGAGACTGACAGCTCCCAGAGACAGAGTTCTCCGCGCTGCTCCAGGGATCCAGAACCTGCGCACAAAGGAAAACAGCTGGCGTCAGGAGTATTAAGCACTAAATTATTTGTTTTACCTCCAGCAGAGAAACCATGTAAGCTCTACAGGAACAGTAGAGCGGTGAGGAGACGACTCACACACTGATCGCTGGTCTCTGGAATGAACTCCCCCTCACTGTTGATGCTGGTGTATGAACCCTGGCGGGCGATCCTCTGCTGGCGTTCGGGCACGTACCCCGGAGGAGGCGAACTTCTTCCTGTGCTCTGAGAACCTTGAATTAAAAAAAACATAAAGAAAGGTGGAAAGATTAACTCCTTGCTGCAATCACAAAAAGCAGACTCTAAAGCTGCAGCCTCTCTGTTATCTCTAAAAATAAAAATCCCAAACTAGACCACTTCTCCAACCCTCTAATAGCATTTCTTGTAATCTGATTGGCTGCAGTCCAGTCAGCATTGTCTAGTAATGAACAGGAAAAGGAAGAGGATCCTTTTGCAAGAAAGGGGTAAAAGAAAGCAAAAGTAGGAGACAGACGGAGTGAAAACAGTGAGGGGAAAAAATAAAAGAAGAAAAGCCACAACACCTGTATTTCAATAATAATTACAATAATATCAGCTTATTTGGGAGGAATAAACAGACTCCATCTCTATCTTCTCTCACTAGACAACAGGTCCAGGCTTCTGTTCTTTTTTATTCTGACCCGTAAACTCGGAGACACGTACCTGTTGACAGGTGGCGCCCCCTGGGCTCGGAGGACTGGAACACCGTGTTGACGTCTCCAGTGGACTGGGAAGGCTTGATCCTCACCTGCTTGCACGGCGCGTGATGAGAGCGGGGCGAGGCCTGTGATGACGGGACCGGAGGAGAAAAAACACGAGTAAACAAAGGCTTCACATCGGCTCGATTCAAACAAAGAAATAAGGAACTTGTGTTTTTCACAACAGGGTTTTGAGGTGAAGAAATGACTGTGGTGCAATGGGATGTTGCAGATGTACGCTTAGTGTGTGTGTGTGTGTGTGTGTGTGTGTGTGTGTGTGTGTGTGTGTGTGTGATTCTCACATTGCTGTCCTCCGGAGTAAGAAGAAGGATCCTGATGCTCTTCATGTTGGAGCTTCTGTCCAGCAGGTCTACTGCTTTGTCCAGGTCGTCCTGACCTCTCAAAGGGATGGACATCTGCAAAATCACAAACGAGCAACAAAGAATGGGTTAAAAATAGGTAAAAAAAAACATGTAAGAGGCAACTCGTTGGAAATCACCTTGACAGTGTGAATTTTTTTATTTTCATCTATTCAGCTGTTTTCCCCCTATATTTTAACAACTACATGACATAAACTGTGTTTTTGACTTCTGGTAACAAAGACCCATGGGCGGAGCCAGAGGGGTGATTGTGGTGGCTAGTGCCTGATTGGCCACCCCAGMCACCACCCCCAATTAATGGACAAGTGGGTTCAGATCTTGAATTTTGTGTTTGCATTTAGATTTTGTTAAAGATTGTTCTCTGATAACACTGTACTGTATAAATCTACAGTTGTGTGTATTTAAAAATGGCTGAATAGCCCTTTTTAAAATTAGCATTAGAGCAGGGGTGCCCAAACATTTTCTCAGAGAGGGTCAAAATGAAAATCTATCCAGGGCTGCAGGCCAAATGCAGTATTATAACACATGAAATACAAATACTTTTAAAGTAAAGTCCTTTGTTTTAACGATTAAGCTATGCAATGGCCCTCTTTTGTTTTAGTCTGTGCACTTGGAGAAAGTCTGCCATACGCTCAAGTAGGAAAGGCTCATGGGACATTTCATAAATTGATAAAATATGAGTTTGTGTGGCCTTATTAAGTGTGCAAATCTACATGTGGTGTTAAATCTGATCTAAACATTTCTTGTTGTCATTTCATGTTTCATGTTTAATCCTAATAAATCAAAGATAAAGTCAGCACCATAAATGAAAACCTTCACTACAGCCCTTTTATATAGTCATTTGACCAATGGAAATGTTGTGTTTCTACCTATAGGATAACAGGTTACAACCTTGTAACTTTGGCAACTGTTGGTGGGCCAAATCAAATGGCTTGGCGAGCCAAATTTGGCCCGCGGGCCCCACTTCGAGCTCCTCTGCATTAGAGGTTAGCTTAATTTGGGTTTAGCGTCGGCAATCAGGATACAATCATTCTTGGCTAATTCACAACATATTTAATCTCAATAGGTCTTAAAATGGCCGAATTATAGCTTTTTAAAGCTGGCTGTGGTGGCCATCTTGACTTTTTAATTATTTAGAATTTGGTAAAGAATGTTTTGGCTACTTCTAAACTAATATTCAGCTTTGTATGTCTAAAGATGGCTGAATAGTAAGTTGTGACTAGCATTCAGTATGTTTTTTGGATCAGTACTTTCAAATTTTCAGCTCAATATTTCTTAAATCAGCTGAAATAAAACAATTTAGAATTAGCAGAATCTTGAATTTTCAAATACAAAGTGCTTTAATTTATTTGTATGTCTTCCCCCTAAATAAAGTAAAACAAAACAATAAAAAAATATAAAAACAACACAATGGCCATCCCTGTGCTACCTCTTGCAAAAAAGCCTAGCTCCGCCCCTGCAAAGAGCCTGAAGATCCAGCTGTAAGTTGTTTCTTTGCTAAGTTGTTATGTTTTGGCACATCGGGTCATGCTCTGAGTTTAACCTGAATGATTCATAGTTTAGAGCTAAATCGATGTAACGAACAAATGAAAGCAGCGAATGGCTCATGTGACTAGAAGTTCAGTTTTTCTGATATCGAATGTGTTCATTATCTCCTTTAAAACAGACTCAAAAGATAAAAAAAAGGAAAATAAGTTTTTCACATTTAACAGCTTCACCTCATTGTTCAAATAATGAAGGTTTAGCTTCTGGCCAAACACGCTCTGGACTTTCTGATGAATTTCTTCAAACTGCACGGGTCTTCCAAACATCAGGATTCTGCACAGAAATCACACAAAGAGGTCGGTTACAGCAGCCGGCAAAAAATAAAAAAACAGCTTTTGACTCATAAAATACACACAAACTGCTGGTTTTAGTGAGTGCAGATTTTTCTGAGTACACCTTGCATATTTGTGGTTTTTGCTGGCAGCTTGGAGCTAACCACCGTCTTTTTCCTCTTCCACTCTCCAGATTACATACCAGCCCGATCCAGAGTGCTGCTTCTCATGAACTGGAACACGTGAGAGCGGCACACCGAAGACAACGTGTTTAAGGTTTAAGGACGACCAATGAACGCCTCTCTAGGGAGGATTTCTGGGCGCTGGGAGGGGACGGCGGGGGAAGACCCGGACATGCTGAAGAGATCATGTCTCTCAGGTGGTCTGGGAAGTCTTTCCAGAAAGGCTGGAAGAGGAAAAAGAGGTCTGGACCTCCCAGATGAAGCTGCTGCCCCCGAGACCTGACTCTGGAACAAGCAGCAGATGATGGATGCATGGACGGGTGGATGGATGGATAAAATGTGTATGCCCTTAAAAGAATACTTATTGTCTGTTAATATCAAGGTTTTAAGCAAAGTTTTAGCTCAATATTTGCAAAATTCTCTTAGTTTTAGCTATTTTTCTATTTCCAAAACTCATTTGGCCATTTGGCTATCTTGAACTGTGTTGACTTGAAAAGAAAATCAGTCGTGGGTGTCACCCCACTGAGTAGTTTCTGAAAGTTTCACTAAAATCAGCGCAGTGGTTCATGAGATATTGGGTGAAACTCACCTCCTCTCTCCTGAGAACTCAAACTTTATCCTGACATTGTCCTAAAAATACAAAAAACAAAGAGGTAAAAAGGTTAAAGAGTTCATTTMTGTGCCTGAACTCACTTTAATTTATATTATTAGAGGTTAATGTGATCAAATGGCAGAAAAAATACTTTTATTTGCCCTTTTTTTTCTTTTGGAATGAGTTGGACTAAAACATTGGCTTGAGACAAATAAGTATATCTGAAACTAAATCCGGATTKCGTTTGGCTTAAAAGGTATCAATATCATGCTTTTAAATCCTTTTTCACGTCTAAATCATTCACTTATGGTCTATTTAAAATAAAACTGCAACGTTTTGGTCTTAATTCCTCGTTTTTGTTGCTCCACAGACTCCTTGCTTTCCTTGCTTTACCTCTGTTCTGAGTTGCGCCTGGTAGTCTATGTAGATAATAATGTGAGTTTACACACCCCAGAACCGAACATTTTGACTTCTGAACTTGCAAATTCTGTATGACGCTATGAACTAAAAAATCACACAGCGAGGAAAAAAATGGCGGACAATGAAATCCAGTTGGCCGGAAATACATTACCAGAAGTGGTAGTTCCGAAGAAAAAAGTGTGACGAAACAAACAATGAAACGAAATAAGCAACAGCAGATTTTGAATAAACTGAAAAATTTGACACATAAAATAATATAAAAATATCTTTGCAGTAACTGGACAGAATAAATTAAAGTTTTCTACACTCCTAGACACTATAATTGCACAAAAAATGTTTATAAATGCAAAAAAAAGTGCATTTAGCATGATATGTCTCCTTTAAGACCTACGCTGAACAACTGGTTCCAGTCTTCACAAATA